GCTCTTTTTTAAACTGAACAATCCGCTTCCAGCTGCGTCTGCTGCAATTGTTGTTGCCAACATGTTGTGCCTGCTGATTTCAGCATACATAGTTGACTCTCTGGAGGCGTTTTATGTGCGCGAGTAGTGCGATCCGTTGGAAAACGAACGAAGTAGGGATTCAGCGACCGATTCAATCTCACTTCTGTTGTTCTCCAACAGAATGCTCTCTTTCCGCACATTAAACGCCTTCAGAGTCTCAAGTATGTAATGAGCTATGAGATCAGCAGGTACAACATATTCTTAACAACAATTGCTGCAAACGCAGTTGAAGGCGAAGTGAAAAGAACCGTATAATACACGTTGAAAATTTAGCTCTATATTTAATATTTTCACCAATAGAGATTTGTATTTTATGATCTTTTTATGGGAGATTCTCAAAAAACTCTTAGACATACATTAAAACATAGACGTATTTAAAATGCGAAATACAATATACCGCGCTGCAAAATTTCATTCTTGGCGGTTTAAGGCCATTCGGACAACGATTTTTTGCCAGCACACCTGTTTTGTCCAATATAGTTTACGCCCTTTCGTAAAATAAGCAACAGTGACTTGGTCCAATCGTTATTATAATTTATTCTGTTCGCACAATTGTATGGACAATATCGAAATGAGAAAATTGAGAGAGAAGGAGATATTTTTATGGTAACTCATTTTTTAAATGAATTACTTTCTACTATTGATTCATCTTTTCAAATTGTCATTGGTGAATATTTTGTTTTATCTCTATCCTTAAAATGTTCGATATAAAATATACCATTAATTATATGCCGTTTTTTCTATGATAATATTAATTCATTTTAAAAGCATTTACATTTTCGAAACGTGGCAAATATTTGTCAAACCTTTTCCAAGCTATGACATCGATATTAATCTTACGAGCCGTAGTTGGAAGAAACTAAACATAATGAATAAAAGAGGGGAAAAACCGAAAAGCAAGCAATCTTTGGTTTTAACCCAATTTTTCATCGAATTTTAAGAGTCAAATACGTCCAATTTTGAGCGCTTAGTTGCGCACACACCATGCTGCAGCACAGTAACAGCACAAAACATAGAATAAAAATTTAAAACTGTTTGGAAATCATTACATTTGACGTGGAACAACCTTAAAATTTACAAAACACACGTTATATTTTCCTTTAATACATATATTTTCCATCAATTTAAATGAGAATAATTCACACAGAGTGTGCAAACATTTCAATATCATGAGTTGAAAACCGCTGACTTCGCGAGTTTAAATATTAGAGCCTAACACCGAGGGGAGCGAGCGGCTTGCTGCCGGTGCGACACGCGCACAGGCGCCTACAAACCTAAGGGGATACTTCACGCATGGCGCAATGATTGAAGTATCCCCTTAGGTTTGTAGGCGTCGATGCGCGTTGCGTGCTGGCCGCCCACCTGCCTTACCGCAGCGTGCCACGGCGCGACGCCTCGAGCAACTATTTCTCAATAGAGGTGTTGCACAGTATCATACGAAATGAGAGGCGCTCCAGAATATTAAGAATGACAGGTATCTTTTAAGAGTACGGAGCTTTCCTCGCAAAATAAATCAATACTTTGCGGCACAAAAGGAGAGCGGTGGTCCAAAAACTCACTAAGTCCTAGCATCCGTTTTAACAACGTTTAGCATAATTCTTGAATATCATTATAGAAAAAAATGACTCGATTTATGCAGAAATATTCTTAAGTATAACAGCAAGAAGATTTTGTTTTGAATTAAGAATAAAATCGCTGAATGAAAGCGGGTATCTGCTTAATGTAACTGACTTTTTTTTTTTTTAATTATAAGCATTTTTTTTTTACACAAGCATTCTTTTCTTATTGATTCATAGGGACATCTTCCCGGCGGTAAATTTGAGCATATTTCTACTTGAATTAAAGGAATTTTTTCTCTAATGAAGTTCAAAAATCATGCTAAACTTTATTGAATAGATACTAGGACTTAATACTTTTTCGACTACCTTCCTCTTTTTCTAGTCGGCACTCGAGTTAGGTTGAATTTGCAAGAAAACTTCGTGCTTTTGAAAGATGCGAAGATACGTTGGGGTGCTTTCAATCTCGTATGATACTGTGCAACACCTTCATGGCGAAGTAGTAGCTCAAAACTCGACTTTCTTCTTCTTCGTGGTAAAAATTGTAGCTTATTTTCAGAAGGCGACCTGAATTTTCTTAAGAGCTGCCCGCACCTCAAGAAGTGTTTTCGTGCACTTTAGAGACACACACAAGGCAAGAAAGGTGCGGTGTGTTTTTTGGTCTGATGAGGGACTATAGTTATATTTGCTAGTGAGCTCCCAGTGAAATTGTTAAAAGTGTTAGCAACATGGACGGAGAGTTCGGTTGTTATAGGTCAGCTTGGAGATTCTTTAAGACAGCAATGAAAACTGCTGTGCAGTAATATTTTCCTTTGAGGAAAACAAATAAGAGTTTTTGGAGGTATTTTGTCAGTGGATGATGATTTGCCCGGATGTTTTTACGGCTTAATCTCCTAGCACGCCAGTAGCGGTTGCGCTGATTCATAATTAGGTATGGTGTTTTGAGTACCAGCGAATTGAAGGCGTTTCCTGAGATGGGTGAGAAATCAGACGCTCAGCCTCCGCTAATCCTATGGCATGGCCTCTTGGGAGCAAGTTAACGTACCTCAGGTTTTTTAATTTAAAAAATTGCCCAACAGTTTGACAGGTCCACCGACAGTTGGAAATCAACTCTACGAATTCGAATAATTGCTCCCAAAAGAATATATTCTTTTTTAAGTGAAGCCAATAAAAAATTAGGGAAGGAAGACATGTGGAGCTGGTTGTTGAGTGGCACAAAGGATTTAAAAGTACCTACCTGTACCTCTGTGGCTTCCTCCAGAAAATGTTAAGAACCCAGAAATAGAGGCTATTTCTTTTTTCTGCTGCAGAAAGGTGATTTCACGATGATAGGAATAGCTAAAATGTGCGACACCTTAAAAATAAAAGTGCACAGTTTTAAACGAATTGCATTACTTCATTTTGAAGTATTATTTTAACTTCCTTTTTCCAGCTTTGGCACGAACTATTTTTATTCTGTACAAAGTGATAGTGATTGACGAACAAGCCATTGAATTGCAGGTATCAGCTCCTCCCGCGTGGAGGTTCACGCAAACATGGCGGCACTGCCAAATTGTGTCGGTCACGTAACTGACACAGCGTAACCGACATTTGAAAATGTGAAATAAAATATGAAACTTGGCAATTCTTGAGATATGAGGTGGAATTAATGCTGCCTTAAAAGTTTTTTAAACTTTGGGGACTTCTTGTTAGTTTATAATAATATTAAATTGAGGATTTTGTGTAGTGAGGAAGTAGTGATACACAGCTGAAAATCACTGGTTTTCATAAAAATTAAAGTTTACATTGTAAAAAAACTGACTTTATCAGTAATTGTTTGGTCGAGAAGATTTCAGCGAACAATTTGATGACAGTTTTGAAACTCATGGCTTCATCTGGCGAGATAAACACTGCACCTAATATAACTACTAAATTTATGTTGCCAAATGCGGCGACACTCTTTCAAATGACTTTTCTCGCTTAAGAATAATTATTCCAGTTCAAAGTGGCAATTTTCTTGAACATTAGAGTCTCTTTACTCTTTTCAGCAAATTTTGCCGAAGATCCCATAGTCAGCACTCATTCATTACCGAAAATTGCTGTCTTGCCTCAAAATCGGGGTTGGCGACGCGTGACGGACCAGACATTTTCGGCCTTTGAAGTCTCATATTATTAAAATTTATCATACTTTTTAGCATGGATAAGTTCAAGAACATCACTTATATTGATTTATCAACTTGGTTTTCAATCGTTTTGCCCTAAGTCGTTATAGCCTACGGCGACACGACTATTCCCTTTATCGCGAAATCACCCGAAAAATGGGTCACTTAACTATGAACAAATTTTGACTTGCGAATGCGTTTTACTGAAGGTAAAAGACGCGTAGAACACGATGCGCACATTTAAAACGCAAAAAAGTAACTCATTAACCGAGAAATACACAGTTCAAATCACTCCGATTGAGCACAGGGGAGAATTTTATGAGCCGCCGCCTGCGGCGCACTATGGTCCATATTTCTTCAAAAGTAGGGAGAAATAAGTCGGATAATGACTGATAGATCACACAAGTTTCGTAATTAATAATTTTTGAGTCGCTAATTTCGAATTTGATGTCAAATTGCCTCATTTTAACACCCTGACTTATAAATTGTGGGGGAGTTTATAGAACGCTGCGGCGCGGTGTGGTGCCAGCTCGAAACGCGCTCTGACGCCTACAAACCTAAAGGGATACTTCAAGCATTGCGCAATGCGTGAAGTAGCCCTTTGGGTTTGTAGGCGTCGCCTTAGTGCGCGTTTCGCGCTGGCAGCACGCCGCGGCTCTCCCGGCGGGAGGGTAGTGAACGATTTGGTTTTGAATTTATCAAAAACAATTTCTCCGAGATTTCGGTTCCACGAAAATGCGGAGAAATCACCACAGTATTTACTCACCTAGTTCTTTCAGAATATGAAATAAATTAAACAAGTTTAGGTGACCCATTAGGAATTAGAGAAACAACTTGCCAAAGAAACTTCCTGCCCAAAATTCCTGCTTCAATTTCATCAGGTAAGTACTTCATGACTTTGAAGTAATCTGTTCAGAATGTGATGTAAGTATGTACGATGGCTCTTTGTACAGAGAATCATGATGTCCGAACTTCCTCCGGAATGAAAGAAAAAATGAGGGTGAGAAGATTTTAACCCAAAATTACTGCAATAAATAAACCTGATGATACACAAAAATAGGATCCATTTGTTCTTAAATTATTTCAAAACAGCAGAGTTTTACTTGCGATGGTGTTCCTCAATTCTTCTTCCAAAGCACTGGTAAGTTTATGAAATCTAAGGAACATCAAGCCCAAATTAGGGAAAAATGGACCGAAAAAAGGTTCAAAGAACACAAAAATGTAACTGGATAAAACAGTTTATTTACAACATACTCACAGAATTTACAGTTCAAGATAATAATAAAAAGAACATTCTTCTGAAAATGACCAGTGCGGAAACCTCATATAATCATGCAAAAATGAAGAAAAAAAGAGGTTTCCAACCATGAGTATAAATTAAGAACATCTTGTAGGATTTTTTAGCTGTTAGAATGTACAAAACAGTAATTACTTACTTTTGTAGAAGTAAGAGGAAGCGTTGAAGGTCCCTCTAATGTGAAGGTGTATATCAATTTCTACATGAACCCTCTTTTCCATGAAACTCCATGCTCATGGAACTCGCATGGAAACAGAGATAAGCCCTTCCATTAGGAGAGCAATAATTTCATCAGAAAGATAAGTACACGTAATTATTTCACACATAAAAATAAAAGGAGACGTGAATTCATGATTAGATATCATTTTGAGAAGTCAGTTTTTCTTTGACTGTTTGACTGACGAAAATCAACTGAACTGATGAAGGAATGAAACAATTTCTTGGATAAAATGAACTCGAGGTCTTAATTTTATTTTTTCTACGATTGAATATTTGATATGGCAAGACTATTGTTCACAGACTTTTAAGCTACTTAATCTTGTAATTGATTTGAGGATTTGAAAAATTGCTGTGGAAAAATTAAGTACTGGAAATTTATACATTTTTTCAGTCAAGCTATTATTTCAATTTAATATTAGTTGCAACTAAATGTGTCTATTGGTCTTGTTTAATTTTATTTGTTTTTTCGTTTGTTTATTTATTTATTTATTTATTTATTTATCAATTTATTTATTTATTTTTTTGACAGTCTCACCTCTAAAACCATAAAATGATGAATTACACAGAAACTGCTTGCATTTCTGTAAGACTCGTAAAAAAGTCTAATGCTAAATTATGTTCATTACTTGCAGTTTCCTCTTGGAGTAAGGTGTGAGATTACAACCGCTCTTCACCCCAAAATAAAATTTAGTGCACAGTTATCAGGTAAAAATTTAATGAGATCAAGGCTTAAATTGTGTCAATCAATTTTGAACTGGAAAACAACTTTTGCTATGTCAATATCTTTTAATTAGAAAGGAGCCAGTCACTGGCAAAAATTGCCTTAGTTCAATGTCTCGATGTGAAATTTTGCCAAGCGTACTGCAGTCAACAGCGAGCGAGACACTTCTTTTTTTCTAGGCTGCACACTTTTTTCTCTCACATTCTAAATCAATAGAGCCATATTTTGGTGAAAAATATCATCGACAATCTACATGTTGACCTATAATAAATTCTGAAGATTTTAGGTAATTTTGGAGTTCATAACTACAGTAGCTCTCTTCTTAGGTGATTTGAATACCCGATTAGGACCCGGAATTTTCTGAATAGATAACATGGCAATAAATGAATTCCACCCGGTTTTGACATTTTTTAATTTCACCAAGAAACAAATATCTGGTTGCCTACCGACTTTCTTCAAGGTGGAAAAAATAAAAATATTATTCAGTACTCATCATGGAACACTTAGTGTTCCATGATGATGTGTTAGTGGTCCAAGTTACTTGGTCTAGCTCCCGTTGTAACACTGAAAATGGTAAAATTTCCTGCCTTCTATCAAAATGTCCTGCCTTTTGCAGTCTCCTAAGATTCCAGGCTTTCCCAGTTTTTCCTGATTGGTATAATCCTGCTGTAGGAGACTTATTAATCCGACCAGTTAGAGACTCAAAGAGCGGATATCAGAGATGATGAGGACCATGTCAGAATGTTCATTTGTTCTCTGACAGTTTGCTGCTGACCATATCTCTGAATTGAGTTAAAATTAAATTTTCTCTCTTCTGCCGCTCTTCTTTGCTGAACATCGCAAGGGCTCGCTTCTCGTCAGCACTGTAAATTTGATTTTCTTTACGGATACGCACAGCTTCCATACGGCGATGCCTAAAAAGGAGAAAAAAACATATTCAAATGTTGGTGAAAAATTATTTTAACATGGATGCCTAATAATGTATTTTCTTTTTACACCCACATGACGGTAAAAGGAGATTTTTCGATGTTTCGGTTATAAGTTGGAGCTTTCTATGTGTCAATCTTGGGAAAATTGGGACTGAGGATTGCATTTGTTGGAAAATTAATATATATTATCATAGAAGTGGGACTGCTGTTGAGTTGAGGATGTGGAGCCTTTTGTTTTGAGCTGAGTTCTGTCGTGTTAAGGTAAAACGTCGTATGAACATTCAGGAGTTGCCAAATTTCCTTCACTAAAATGTTTATTTGTAGGGAAATTTATGAGCATTTTCCCCCGAAATTTACAGGAAGTTCAGATGAAATTGAGAACATAATTATCTGAAAAATTGGAAGGAAAATATTCAAAAGTTTACCAGGAAATTCGTGTTTCACAAAAGGAAATTTGGCAGCGCCTGAAGGTTCATACGGCGTTTCTCCTTAGCACGTCAGTGTTGAGGTGTTGTTTTAACTCCCAGGCCAGCCTAAGATGAGGAGGGAGGAGCTTCCTCCTTGATTACCTACATTTCACCACGTTTGTATCCAAGTAAAACTACCAAAAAATGTTTTTTTTTTTTGCACAATTTTCATGAGATTAGCACATGGAAAGTTCACTTTCAAAGGTTCATCTTACTCAGAAGCCGCGAGGAACTTTATGAAAAAAAAATCTTGAAATTCAGCAAGTGCCGCATTTCTTTTCCCATGCGAAGTATTTATTAAGCATATTCTCTCTAGTCCATTTTGTTGCATATATTGTTGCCTTTGTTATTTTGTTGCATATATTGTTGCCTTTTTTATTATTTTTTTGCATATATTGTTGCCTTTGGTATTATTTTTAATGTAATTGGGACTTGTCCCGTTGAAATTTGAAATAAATAAATAAAAAAGTCCTTTCAACATTTTAGATATCTCTGAAGATAATTTATCTACTCCTATGAAGATGAATAATAGAAACAGAATAAAATATGCATTGAAAGAAACCCTTAACAATCTTTTTGAGACATGTTAAATATTTTTTCTTACGGTCTGAAGATAAGGAAGAAGCAGTATTACAGTTTAGCTCTCAGCGTATTCAAAATATTGATGCTCAAAAAGCCAAACCACGAACCTTCCTTTGGAGCACTGCAGACTTCCAGTTGTACTTCATTTTTCCTTTGGAAAACTAGTCAACGTAATTTCTTGAAAACTTTCTTAATAATAATTCTTCTATATTAGCAGAATATTCTGCATAAATTTCAAGTTATAAAGTTGGCTCGTTTTTCAATGGAAAAATAAAACGGAAGCGGAACTTTTGAGACACTCCAATAAAGATACATGGATTTGCACTCTGGTTATCGATATACTTATTCAGGGATTGGAGAGATTCAGCTCAAACTATATGGGGTCAATGCACACATTCTTCAGTTTATAACAAACACATGTTGTGGATAAAATGCCAGAGATAAGACATACCTGCTCCCACTCATGACGTAACCGACTTTTTCGTATGTCTCTATCTGGTCAGATGTGAGACCGATTTCTCCTCTCCTGGGAATTCTCTTGCCTTCTGCAACGTATGCTGCCATGGCAGCTCCTTCACCAGGAAGAAGAGCTTTACCAAAGTCTCTGTGTGAGAGTGTGACAGCTGCTTTCTGTTGAGGTCCAACAATTTCGTTGTCACTTTCTGATCCACCGACTAAGAAACGAAAAAAATAGGGTTAATTAATCATCTTATCTTACACATTATGCAGCTAATGACTGGTAATTAGCTCAAAGTGGAGAGATCTATTTGCAACAAAGAGCAAACTTGAATGAAATGATGGTGGACTGCATGAAATGTTGGATGCTCTTCCCATGTTGAGTGGGGTAAAAAATTAAGAGGAAACTAAGACCGTCCTTAAGAAGAGGCTAAGCACTGAAAAGCGACAAATTATTTTTATGAGGCCTCTGCATGGAAGGGTATTTTACGAAAATTTCCCACAGAAAAGGCCCAGGAATAGACTCGAGCTATGAAAGATGGAGGTTTCAAGTTTAAAAAGGGTACACAGTTTCTTCAAAAAATAGATTTTGCATTCAACACATCAGGGCAGGGGCTCAAAATGATTGTTTCAGTTGAAGTTAGCTGTTGTTTTCAGTTAAAAGTTGTCAAAAAAAAGACATGCTTACCTTGCTTTTCAACCCATTCTTCTTCTTCTTCGCTACTTGAATCATCTGAACTAGAATCTGACGAGGATGATTTGGCTTTTTTCTTCTTCCGTTTATGCTTGCGTTTTTTCTTGTGACTACTCTTTTTCTGAAAATTGAAGGGAAAAAAAATGAACAATACAATAAGTAATGGAGTGAAAAATTGTTAATTTTGTTGTTTATAGCTCAGATATAATTTTTAAATTCGAGTTTAATACAAGTTTTAAAAAAGAGCACTTAAATCACTTTTTCCTTCCATTTGTGATGTTGGCAATCAACTTATGTTTAACCTGATAAATATGAAGGATTAAAAGTTAAAAACTGTGAAGTTACCTTTTCCTTTCCTTTTGATTTTTCCTTTTTATGCTTGGTAGATTTACTCTTCTTCTTCTTTTTCTTATTATCTAACTCTGAATGTTTCCTTTTTAGACTTTCTTCAGGTTTAACTTCATCGTCTGATCTGCAAAGTAAAATCATAAATTATTATGTCTCCATTAGTATGAAGCTTCATTATTAGCACTTAAACCAGAAATAAGAGGTGGAAAAATAATTTTGCTTCTCAGAGCATTGACTTCATCTGAAATATGGGTCTGATATGCATCTACAGACTGATTACTGAAACTTTAAGGTGGCCAGATAAAACATCAAAATGCAATACATTCCATGGTCACGATAGAGCAATGTCTTGTCTTGTTGCATTGGCAAAGATTCAATAATTGGGTTGCCTGGAGAGGGTCAGAAAGTTTGTGGGTCAATGATGATGGATTAATGACACTTTTAACTTAAGAAAGGTGCCGAAATATAAGTTAACAATTATCTAAATCCACCCTGAGTTTTGTCTATGCTAGTGGGTGTATTGATACCACAGAATAACAAGTTGTGCGCCCGGTTTAAGGGCAACATTGAAAATTCTTCCTATGCCTACATTTTTTAAAACTGAGTTTTAGCATGCAAATTTCGTCTTCTCCAGCAGCATGTAGCTGCGTTCTTAATCTTAGAAAACTGCCCATTGAGTTGCTTAGTGGCCTAAGCGGAGCATTGTTAAACTCCCGCTGGGCAACTAGCAAGTACCATCGAGACTCGTGAGTTGCCCAGCTATCCAGCAAGTTCTGGGTGCCGCTAGACTGCGGGATGCTTCTTTGTCCTTGTTTTAACGCCCACTCCATTCAAATTCAGGACCATAATCACAGAGCCACTGACATAAAAAAGAGGAAAAACTGATCTTTCAATTGGCACAATAGTAGTGCCAAGTGAAATTGAAAAATAGAAGAAAGTAATATGCAATAATAATACCTAAGAGATTTTTGTCAAGATAAATGACGGGCGGTAAAATTCAAACCTAAAATGTTGCTTGCAAAGTTTATAATCCACAACAACACATTTGCTGGAAATGGCGGCTGAATGTTTTCTTTTTAGTCGCTTTCATGGTGTCATCATATAGTTTCCTATTTTCAAGCCTGCTGAGATTAACAAGGCAGCTAATATGTGTGTTGCAATTAATAGCACGTACTTACTTTCATTCTTCAACAGTCTACAATGTGGTGCAGAAGAAGTCAAAAGTATTGAGCGTCCAAATTTGGATGAGTACAAGTATCTCATGAGTACTTGACGATCAAGTTCCATAACGACAGAATGAAATACTCCTGCTAGATTAGCAACAAAGACAAGATATTGGAATGAAGCACATGTTCATCACAGTGCTTAAATGAACTGTACCTTAAATTTTAATGGTTTCTTTACTATTTACACCATTCAAATTAGCGTGGCAACCAAAATAAGATGAAGTAAGAGTTGTAAATACTTACTCTACTGTGCGCAAGGGTGATTTACCCCAAACCTGAGGGACACCGATTAGATTGATTTCTTCCCTCTCCTTTCTCCGTTTATCCATTATCTTTTCCAGGGAGGAGCCATGAGATGGTCTGTTTCTGGATGATTTCATTCGGTAATGGTCCGTTCGATCCATGGTGAGAATGATGTAACCAACACTTCAGGTTTTAATTTCACTTCACCTGAATAGAGCTGCACCTTGCGAACAGTTCATGATGTTGGACTAAACATTATAAAGACTCAAGTAAAACTGCACACTACATAGAAAGGGAAACATTACAAATGGGTTTTTTTAAAGGCCAGATAAATTTGTAGATCATTTTGTAAATAAACAACACAGTTTTGAGGTTAGAAAGGGAGTTGACAAAAAATCCTGCCGAATCTCCATCTAAAACTGTTTGGTGCGCAGTCAGGAGCACCGATGTTTCCTTTCTGCAGACTCTCCGCACTCCGCACCCGCAGAGGGGTTTTCTGTCAACCCTAGTCTTTGCTTTCGGGCCAAGACGGAATCTTGTTTTTTTTTTTAAAAAAAGGAAAATCCGCACAGTTGCTCTTCTTTTATCTATAGGATAAGGAATCCCAAGTAATAAAGACCGTAAGGAATACAAAGAATACAAATAAGGAGCCGTCCATAAATTACGCACCTAAGGCTCTTA